CGTCCCTTCTTTCTGGATTCGTTTACCTACCACCAATCAGGTCAATTTTTTTTTTTGAAAGGAACTTAAATGGGTTCAAAGTTGACCCTTATTAAGAAAGGTGCTTTTGTTAAATTTTAAAAGGGTTCGTTTTTAATCTGTGGCAACTGCTACAGGTATATGATCCCTTTTCGATTGAATTGCGAAAATTTCCCCAATGGCTACGGGGGGGAAGGGAGGATTGAATTTCCTGCGTACAGGTCAGTTTCTGGCTACAGGAACTTTTCCCTGATTTTCCAGACAAAATTTTGATTTTTTCCCTGATAATAAAGAATTCTTTGATTCACTCTCTAAAAATTATTAGATACTCAAGAGAATGTTCTATTTACCTACGAATTTCTTTAATTTTATAATTATTTGAAAACATCAATAACTTCTTTTTTAAATAAATATTTAAAAATTATTATATTTCTATTAATTTATTCATTATTAATTTATAAATTAATATTATTAATTTATTATTTATTAATTTTTCTATTAATAATTAAAGAATTAAAATTCTTCAAATGATGCAAAATTCAAATTTTTTTCAAATTAAATGACTTAATAAAAATTGTTATTATATAAAACATGACCGAGTGATAAAATTATTATCAACTCAATTATTATTATCAAGAATTTTTAACTAAAATTCTTCACATTCTTCTTCAAATCGATTATTTTTAATAATTTCCGAAAAAGTTCTTTGATAATTTTCAAATCCATTTGTTTGCAATATTCAATTTTACGAAAGTTCAATTATTCGCAAATTCTTCAATTAAATATATATTAGAAAATAAAAATTCAAATAATATAAAAAAAATTCAATTAAACTTTTTCAAAAAAATTAATTTCAGAATTTTTTTATTTCTAAAAATTCACGCTTCAATGCTTTTAATATTCAATTTATAATCTAAAATTTTAACTGAAATAGATTTTTAAATCAATTTTTATTAGAAAATTCTACGAGAATTTAATTATTGAAATACAAACAAAACAATTTATTGAACAATTGAATGTTTCTTAAAATTGAATAACTCATGAAGAATTTTATAAACAAAATTTTAAATAATTGAATTCTTTCAACGAATTTTAATAAAATTTTTAAGAATAATTAAATTTTTCGAGACATTTGATTAAAATTGTATTTTTAAAAATTGAAATTCTGCGATGAGTTTTATTATTTATGAAAGTAATTGTATTTCTAAGAAGAATTTTATTATTTTTTTAAAAACATTTAATTTTTGAGATGAATATTTTTGAAAATAATTGAATTTCTGCATGATAAATTGTAACTTTCCAAAATTTAAATTTTTTTTCGTATTTTTAACTAAAATTCTTCCATAAATGCATTATTTTTCATAATTTATAAAAAAAAATGTTCTGCTTTGAGAATTTTTAAATCCATTTGTTTATAATTCAATTTTACAAAATTTCAATTATTCGTAAATTTTTCAATGAAATATACATTAGAAAATGAAAACTACAAACAATTTCAAAAAAAAAAATCCACAATTAAACTTTTTAATTAAAATTAAAAAGTTTTATTTTAAGTTTTTTTTTAATAAATTTCACAAAATTGTTAATTAAAAATATAAAAAATTCAGATTTGCAATGATTTTAATTCGAAACCTTTTCAAAATACAATTATTTCTTAAAATTCACGCTATGTTGCTTTTAATATTCAATTATAATCTAAAATTTTAACTGAAATCCATTTTTAAATCAATTTTTATTAGAAAATCCCACTTGAATTCAATTATTTAAATACAAAAAACAATTTATTGAATAATTGCAATTAAAAAAACTCAAAAGAATTTTTAAAAAAATTCTACTAACAGAATTGTTAGTTGAAATTTTGAAAAATTCAGATTTTCAAAGATTTTAATTTGAAACCTTTTCAAAATTAAATTATTTCCAAAAATTCGTGCTATAATGCTTTTAATATTCAATTATTATCTAAAATTCATTTTTAAATCAATTTTTATTAGAAAATTTTACGAGAATTCAATTATTTAAATAAAAAACTAAAAATTTTATTGAATAATTGAATTCTTTCGACGAATTTCAATAAAATTTTTAAGAATAATTACATTTTTCGAGGAATTCGATTAAAATTGTATTAAAAATAATTGAAATTCTTGAAATTCTTATTATTTATAAAAGTAATTGTATTTCTAATTTCTAAAATATTAAAAATAATTGAATTTCTGTAATTATTTCCAACTTCTCCAAAATTCATTTTTTTCTAGTGTTTTTAACTAAAGTTTTTCTTTAATTATTATTAAAAAATTTTAACTGAAATTCATTTTTAAATCAAATTTTATTAGAAAATTCAACGAGAATTCAATTATTTAAATAAAAAAATAAATAATTTATTGAATAATTGAATGTTTCTTAAAACTGAATTAAATTGAATTGAAAATTTTTATTGTTTATTCAAATAGTTTAATTATTGCGAAGAAATATATAAAAAGTTTATAAATAATTGTATTCCTGTGAAATTTTTATTATTTATGAAAATAATTAAATTTTTGTTTAGATTCTTATTAAAATCGTTTTTAAATAATTGAATTCTTTAGAAAGGCATTGAATTGAGGAAAATTTTCGAAAATAATTGAAATTTTGCCAAAAATTGTATTAAAATTTTAAAAAATAATTTAACTTCGGAGAAGAATTTTATTATTTATAAAGATAATTGAAATTTTAACTTGAATTTTTTGAAATCATTAAATTGAGGAAAAGTTTTGAAAATAATTAAAATTTTGTCAAGAATTTTATTAAAATTGTTGAAAGTAATTGAATTTCGGAGAATTTTTTAACACAATTGAATTTTTGCGAAGAATTTTATTTTTAAAGTAATTGAATTTCTGGAATTATTTCTAACTTCTCCAAACTTCAATTTTCTATAGTGTTTTTAACTAAAATTATTCTATAAATCCAGTATTTTTAATAATTATTTAAATATATATATTAAAAAATTTAATTTATTTCAGAAGAATTTGAATTATTAAAATTTTTCAAAAATCTAAGTCTTTCTAATTAAATTCATTCAAAATTTAAATTTTATCAAATTTCAAATTAAAACCTTTTGAAGTTCATCTATATTTATGAAAATTGCAAACGCAACTCATTTAGAATTCAATTAATTTTGAAATATTTAAAATTTTAAATATTTAAAATAAAAATCCTTATATGATTTCAATTAAAATTTATTATTTTGTAATAAAACTTTTTTGGTTGGAGAATTTTTCCAATTTTATGAAAATACAATAGAATTTTTTTTTCTGTTTCATAATATCAGTAATATCACTAACATTTGAAATTCAAAAAGAATTTACACAGTTTATATAAAAAGAATCGTACTCCGCTTAAACATAATATTACATTGTGAATTAAATTTTTCTTCCTCCCACCATTATATAAAAAAAAATTAAACAGAGTGTCGGTTAAAGAAAATCTGACCATGACAGTTGTCACGTTCAAGGATAGAGTTTTTTTTCCAGTAACTTGAGGAATTGTAAATTGAAAATTAAAGAAGAATAACTTGAGATTTATATATAAATTAATATAATTTCTCTTAAAAAATGTCAGATTTTTATTATCAAAGATTATTTTTTATTATTACTCTAAAGAAGAATGTTAAATTTAATTCTCCAAAGGATGTAAAATTACTTCTTAAAAATGTAATTATATTTTATTATTACTTCTGAAAAAATATTATCAAATCTATTGTAATTTATAATGTTGAATTATGAATTACAATTTGATTACGCGAATTCTGTATTATTTCAATATGCTTTTTTTTATTACTATCGTTTCTTCATAAAGGAAGTATTTCATTCATTTAATACAGTAATTGTTTTAATGTTTTTTTTCTTTATTTTTAATTATTTTTTTCTTATGAAGTGACTGAGAGATTTCATGTTATATATGCAAATAAAATTGGTACAATGGAAAACCTACAATTTATTTCTCATTAATATCAATTTTTTTTTTTTTTTTGATGAGAAGAAAATTGCCTTTTTTGTATTCGGATTTCACGCATCTGTTGCAGATATCTGTTCACTGTATAAATAATAAGAGATTTTTATGTTAAACAATTATTGGTTATAAAATTATTTTATTGTTGGAGATATACTCGATTTTAAAAGAAGTTTAAAAAAAACTCGTCTGCTTAAGAAAAACGTGGCATTTATTTTGAATATTTATTTTTAATTATAATAATTTATAATTGAATTGAACAAATTAAAAATTTTATGGTATAAAATATAAAATGAAAACAATTTTTCTTCTCTGAAATGTTAATAATATTTTTATTTTATTGTAAAATTAAGTAAATAATATTAATATGTAATAAAATGGATATAATAAAAAAAGTTAATGGAAATAATAAATAAAAGGAAGAACTAAAAGATAGAATGGAACTGAATGCACAAAAATTTTAGAGTCGTTATTATTTTTTTCAACTAAAAATTCTTGAATTAATTCCGCAAATAAAGTTTCGTGATGTAAAAAATTGGGTTCGTCCGGGATTTGAACCCGGGACCTCTCGCACCCTAAGCGAGAATCATACCCCTAGACCAACGAACCGTTATACTTTCAGCGCAACGTTATTTTCTGACATAAAATTTCTTTTTATTTTAAAGGCAATGAAATGACGTCAAAGAGAAATGCTTCTGTCGAAACCTGTTCTCAACACTCTTGCATATACATTTTTTGTCTTGTGAAAAATTTCTTTTATTTTCAATTTTAATGAAATTTGACTTTAATAATTATAACAAAGAACTTAGAATCTTTTTTTAACAAAGATTCACAATTAAAATTTCTAATTATAATATAATTAGTAGCTAATTATTTATTAGCCAATTATTAATTATAAATAGCAGAGGAGAGAATTTTTTTCAGGTAAAATTAATAATTAATTAATTTATTAATAGAAGATCAAAAAAATAATAAATTTATGGTGTTTCTGCTTTCAGGTTGCCGAACAACTGAAGGAACCGTGAGTAAATTTTAATTTTCTAATTTTAGGAATAAGTTATTTTATTTTATAAAATGAAACTAAAAACAATGGTAAACAATTAAATGAATAAAAAAATAATTTTGCAAATTGAGTAAAAATAAAAAAAAAATGGGCTCGTCCGGGATTTGAACCCGGGACCTCTCGCACCCAAAGCGAGAATCATACCCCTAGACCAACGAGCCGTTGTGTCTGAGAAATCCTAAAAGCGCGACGGCAGCGGACGAATAAATTCTGATGCTTTATAATCTTGTTTACGTAAGAAAAATTCAATGAGTACAGTTCTTGTCGAAAGTAAATCGTTCAATTAATTTATTTTATTTCTGTTCTTTCAAATTTAAATACTTTTTCTTCTTTAAATTTTAAATTACACTTTATAAATTGACTATTACTTACATTTATTTATTTCATTTTATTTTTTCATTTTCTATTTAACTATTTTATTTTTCTGTTATATTTACGTATATTTTATAAAAAGTTTCAAACATTTACGTATGTGCAACTAGAGAAAAATTTAATTTTATATCGAAGAAAGTTATATTTCAATTACAATAATTTAATTTGAACTGAAGAAAATTTATTTGAATCAAATAAAATTTATTTGCTCTAAAAGAAACTTATTTGAACCAAACAACATTTATTTGAACTTAACAAATTTAATTGAACCAAATAAAATTTATTCGCACAGAAAACAACTATTTGAACTAAACAAATATTTACTTGAACCAAACAACATTTATTTGAACTTAACAAAATTTAATTGAACCAAAAAAAAATGTAATTGAAGCAAATAAAATTTATTTGCACTGAAAAACACTTATTTGAACAAAACAACATTTACTTGAACTGAACAAAATTTAATTCAAAAAAAAAAAATTTATTTGCACTAAAAATCACCTATTTGAACTAAACAAATATTTATTTGAACCAAACATTTATTTAAATTGAACAAAATTAATAAAACCGAAAAAAATTAATTTGAACCAAGAAAAATTTAATTGAACTAAATAAGATTCATTTGTACTGAAAAAAAACTTATTTGAACAAAAAAAAATTTATTTGCACTGTGAAAATCTTATGTTTGAAGTAAAAAAATATTTATTTGAACCAAACATAATTTATTTGAACTGAAAAACACTTTTTGAACTAAACAAATATTTATTTGAACTAAACAACATTTATTTGAACTTAACAAAATTTAATTTAACCAAATAAAATTTATTTGCACTAAAAATTACTTATTTGGACTAAACAAATATTTATTTGAACCAAACAACAATTATTTGAACTAAAGAACTCTTATTTTTGAACTAAACGAATATTTATTTGAACTGCACAAAAATTAATTTGAACCAAACAAATTTAATTGAACTAAATAAAATTGATTTGCAATGAAAAAAACTTATTTGAACAAACAAAATTTTTTTGCAATGAAGAAAACTTATTTGAAGTAAACAAATATTTATTTGAACCAAACATAATTTATTTGAACTGAAAAACACTTTTTGAACTTAACAAATATTTATTTGAACGAAACAACATTTATTTGAACTGAAAAACATTTCTTTGAACTAAACAAATATTTCTTTGAACCAAACAACATTTATTTGAACTGAACAAAATTTAATTGCACTGAAAAACACCTCTTTGAACTAAACAATTATTTATTAGAACCAAACAACATTTATTTGAACTGAAAAAAATTTATTTGCACTGAAAAAAACTTATTTGCAGTGAAAAACACTTTTTTGAACTAAACAAAAATTTATTTGAACGAAAAATAATTTGTTTAAAGGAATTTAAAATTTATATCATCCAAATCAAATTTATTTGAACTAAACTAATATTTATTTGAGGAAATTTAAAATTTTTTTGAACCAAATACAATTTACTTGGACTAAATAAATATTTATTTGAGCCAATTAAAATTTATTTGAACTGAACAAAATTGTTTTGAACCAAATAAAATTTATTTGAACTAATTAAAATTTATTTTAACAAAATAAAGTGTATTTTAAGCAAAGAAAATTTATTTTGAACCAAATAAATTTTTTCTGCAGGAAATGAAAAATTTAGTTGGCTTTGAATCAAAAATATCTCCTCTGGATGTAATTTGTTTAAATAATTCCAATAATGCATATTGTTTTTCTTAATTTTTTTTACTAATTCCGTTTAGTACTTTTACTAACTAAAGAAAAAATTAAATTGCAAAAAAAATTGCCAAAGGTAAAAAAATGGGCTCGTCCGGGATTTGAACCCGGGACCTCTCGCACCCAAAGCGAGAATCATACCCCTAGACCAACGAGCCGTTATATTTATTAAAATCCGCTCGAAAAGATCTGTAGAAAAAGATTATTTTAATTTGTGTCATTTTGCTTACGAAACATTAGTTACAATACACATCAATACAAAAATTTATTCCTTTCACGTCACGTCTTCATAGTCTTATTAATTTTTTTATTCATCTCTGTAGATGTAATATAAATATTAGTTAATTTTTTCTTTGCTGGAAAAAAATAGGAAAGGAAAAATAGCAAATAAAAAAAAAATTGCTAAAGTTAAAAAAGTGGGCTCGTCCGGGATTTGAACCCGGGACCTCTCGCACCCAAAGCGAGAATCATACCCCTAGACCAACGAGCCGTTATACTTAAGAAAATCCACTCGAAAAGATCTGTTGAAAAAAAATCGTTTTATTTATGTCATTTCACTTACGAAACTTTACTTTACAACACACACACAGACACAAACGTTTATTCCGTTATTCCTTTCACGTGACGTTTTACTGAAAACCGCTGCTTCGGCTTTTTTTATGTATATATAGTTATAATATGCGTTTTCAGAGTCTTATTAATGTTTTATTCATCTTGACAGTTGTAATACAGACAATATTTGTTAATTGCATTATGATGTGGATATTAGATAATGAGATAATCTGCTGTCAAATTACTGCAATGATTTTGTCATTATTCACAAGTAAGGAGAGTAATTTTATGATTTCTTTGAAATGATTGTATCATTAAGTCACAAATATGGTTCATTGAGACGATATTATTTTTATTTTTTTTTTGTATATTTACTCAACTGTAGTCCACTATAAAAAATAGTTTTCACAAATAGTCTACTAATATTAGTGGACTATTTGTGAAAAGTATTTAATACGTGAAGACAATTCTTCTCAGAATACACTGGGTAATTTTTTCTTCTTCTTATCCGGAAATTAATCATTGATCGAGAGAGTGACAATGACCTCGAACATGTAAGAGCATTATTGTGAATTGTTCATTGACCCAGAAATATTCTTTTTTGAACAGTTGGGATATTTACGTAAAATTGAGACTCGTAAAATTTAAATGCGATTTAAAAAGCGATTTTTGTATTGAATGAACAATGTTATCAATAGTTTTTCTAAATTTATCAAATTGAGACAAAAAACATATCAAAATTGTTGCGATGCAACAATTTTGATATGCTTTTTGTCTCAATTTGATAAACTTACAAAAACTTGATTTTTAAGTGGAATGTTGAAAACCTGCACAACAGGTAAGTAAGTATTTGCGATATTTTTACAGATTAAAAAGATATCAACAATTGTTGATAATATCATGTACTGTTACTTATAAGTTAACTAAAAACCATTATTTTTAACATAAATAATGGGATTATTTAATAAATATTTAAATAATCATGTTAGTGATTATGATAGCAACAGCAACAACCAACAATATTAGTTAAAGCCATTGTTAGTTATCAACGTTAATAGTTACTTTTATAAATTTTGTTGTCGACAAAGAATACGTACTGTTACTAATAATGGTAAGTATTAGCACTGGTAATAATTTTGACGCAACTAAATAATTGGTTGATGTTTGTTGAGCAAAACTTTTATGAAGATAACTACAGGTTGTCTGCATAAAAATTTTGGTAACACAAATATTATTAGCGAATCTTTTATGGTTATTGATGTTTTTTTAGTGCAGTAACCAACAGTGACTTGATAACAATATTACCAACTCTTTTTGATATAAAAGTAATAAACATTGTTACCAAAAATGGTTTAGAATCGAAAATTGTTGGTAGTGCAAATCATTTACACGGTAATTTTTTATGGTAGCAAATATTTTTTAGAGTCACTCTTTAGTGCTCTTTAGTGCTGTAAATATAATGATTGGTACTACTACTGGTAACTGATAATATTATGGTTGCTACCAATTTTTTTTTGTTAATGCTGGTTGCATATCGAATCTGACTTTTGATGTTACAAGTTGCTACTAATGGTTGCTGCTATTATTGGTTCAAATTATTATTAGTTACTGCTAATTCTATGGTTGCTACTAATACTGGTTGCTACCAATAACGTTTGTCACCAATAATGTTTGGTAGTTACAGATTTCAATTGTTATACCGATTTTAATCGTTTCTTATTGTCAGCAACCATTATTAGTATAATGATGATTGTAGAAGACTATATCAATGCAAATAACTAGTAATGATTGTTCACCATTGTACACAACAATTATTATTAATCATTGGTAATTATTTTATAGCTAATTATCATTGATCTCGTCATTGATGGTAGCAAAAATTAATGGCAGTAAAATTATTGGTACCAAAATTAATAATAGCTAAAACTAATGGTACCAACAGTAACAGTAGGAAAAATTGGTGGTAGCAAAAATTAATAGCATCATATTTAATGGTAGGGGAACATAGTCTAGGTCGGCCACCTTTTTGACTTTTGTTTATAACTTTTTTTTAAAAATGAATTTGGACAATTGAAGTATATGGTTGGAAAGTCCTGTTTAATAGGAACATTTTTTCTGTACAAAGTAAATTGACAGGTTTAAAAATGAAAAAGTTATAAAGATTTAAAAAAAAAAAAATTTGTAGTCCAGGTTGGCCATTACAGTCAAGGTCGGCCATGTTTAAAATTCAAAGGGCATTAATCGTTAAAAAATAAAATAACATGTTTGGAGTTACGGAAA